CTACTACTACTACTACTACTACTACTACTACTACTACTAATTACGTGCACGTAGTGGTCTGCTTTAGATCCAAAGGTCTGCGACTTACATTTGACAACTACCCCAGACACGACCCGTCGACTGGCAGGACTATACCGATCAGGCCAGACGCGCTTGAAGAGGGGTCACCCTACGGGTCCGGACACGTTTTTGTAGGAACGTACCCTGTAAAATGAGGTCCTTGACCTGCCGGTCTAGGTAATGAGGTCCTTGAAACTGCCGGTGTAGGTCATGCTTTGGACTTCGTTGGGCTGTTGGGACTAAAGAAGGAACCTGGACTTCGGACTTCGTCTGTGGTTTTGGTCTCTCCTGGAACCGCCTGGATCCTCTGGGCCCTGTCCTGGGAACCACCTGGATCCTTTGGGGCATGCTTCTGAACGTTCTCATTCATCTGAGTAAACGTGAGGGTCACCAACGCATGATGGGTCATTCCAAAGCAGGGCAGATGCCTTGAAGCGGTTTGAAGCCCAGGATGGCATTGTGATGCATTGTGTGAAACAAAGGGATCAATCAACATGATCAAACCAACATGGCCAAAGGTTGTTTCCAGCTGCTCGGGTGTAAAATGGTACTGAGGGCACTCCCAAATTTGAACTTGAACGACATTTGCTGCTCTAGACTCTAAACAATTCACAAACACATCAAAAGCATGACCAACATGAAAGCGATTCTTGAATCTTCTTGCTATGTCCACTTAAGGTATGCTCAACAACTGGACCTACAGTATAGGAAAACAAGGATCGCTACCAACGGACCCTCTGTTTGGGGTGATCCAAGAGGTGTCCAAAAAGCACCGGGCTGTGCGGGCTCAGGTCCTTATACAAACGGACGAATCGACGAATCCAAGCAACTCGGCCAAATGCTAAGCACATGTTAAGCCATGACCCTAAGAATCGGTACGGGCTTTGCATGGCAGGCGTCGGACCTTCTCCCCTCTTCGCAGGGGTCCAGGCCCTCAAACCCCAATTGTTTGAGGGCCCAGATTCTTAGGGAAAGTAAAAACACAAAACAGTATGTAACTGGACATGAACAAAATCTTAGGGAAAGTAAAAAACAAAACAGCTAACTCACCTAACCCCCAAGTGTTCTCCCATAAGCCCCAAAACCGCCGCTCAGCCCCCCACGCGGTCCAAGCCGCCACCGCCCCCCAACCGCTCGGAAAGGCACGACGGTCACTGAGGACTCGAAGCTGCTCGGCGGCGGTTTGGAGCCAACAGGTGAGGACGTAGAGGGCCAAGAGCAAGGACGACGCGGGATCTACCTGTTGGACGGGATGTCAGACCAGAGGGATTCCCGGACCAGAGGGATTCATTTCGAGGATCCAGTGTCAGAGGGGGCGGGCCAAGAGCCCATCGGGTGGGTTTTGGAGCATCAATCTGGCAAAAAAGATCGAAGACGATGTTCTTTCGAGTTTCTGGCATCCATCTTTGGACGTCAATCAACTGAACCGCAGAAAAAACCGCACCCGTACGATGTCGGAGACAAAGACATCGATGACCATGAAATTGAAAGACCCAAGGTGAAGAACTCCACGAAAGCCATGATGATTCCGGGGAGTGTGTTGGCGGTGCGCAAGGCTATAGGAGCTAGAAGGAGACGTTGGTTGCTGAAGTCGGTTGGCGGTGAGAAGTTTTAACGGTTTCTAGAAGGCAGCGGGAAGACGTTTTTGGGGCTTTTGCTGATTTATATAATAGGTCCGAACCACCTTGTGTCATTGAGGATGTTACACTACAAAACCAGGTCCACCATTCTAAACATATTGAACATGGTCTTGGAAGGAGGGTTCATGGAAAAACATCTCTGGTTGCTTCTTGGAGAGCTGTCTTAAAGGGTAGCCAGGTAGCCCACTGCATGGTCAACCACAGCAGGTACCCAGAATTTGGAACCGGAACCGGACATCGTGGTTCAAGATTCAAGACTAGAACTTTTAATGGGCACATTCTGGTCAGACAAGAACGAACAAAAACCATCAGGAAACGTGATGGAACCTTGAGAAGAGCTAATACTAGCACCCTCCAACAGGCTGTTAGTTGAGGGTTGTTGGACCCTATAACAGGTCTCAATTGGTGACCTGTAGAGTCGGGTCCTGGCAGAACCCATGAGGAATACGATGGAACCCACCATCGGAAGCTGGTCTCAACACCGAGCCCAAGGGCCATCATCCTCGTCACCCAACTCGTCCTCCCGCCTTTTCCAGCCATTCGCCGCCTTTGTTTCTGTTTTGGCACCAAACGCTTCCACCCACAACGAGCAGCACCAAGGAGTTCCCCAAGATCTCAGCGCAGATCGGACGAGGCGAAACGAGGCACAATGGGGCATGTCATCTCTCTTGGACGCGCGGACGCGGAGGTGTGGAAAACACATCCCGTTGGTCCCGAAACGGCATGTGATTCCTGTGACTGCCTCGAAACTCAGTCCCAACCAAAAACAAATCTCCTGGACCCTCAAACTGCTACATGTTTGAGGTCCAAGACCCTATAGTTGTGAGGGTCAAAACTCTAGCGAACTGCGAACTGAGGGTCCAGAGAGCCTTTGGGTGGTGGTTAGATTCGGTTAGATGGCTTGAGATCCTTTACATAATAGGAAGTGGCTGGAGGGACTTCCATCCAGAACTGTTTCAGGGTGTGACATCTGTTTTCGGGTCCGAATCCTCTCGGGGTTGCTCGATGTGCCCCAACGCCCCCAACCATCGGGCGTTGCTGGCGGGGTGGCGTCGGGCCCTGCGACTCCAGGCAAAATCCCATGAGTTGGAGGCAGACCTGGACTCGACTTCAAGTACCCCCTTGGGAGGGAGACTCCCGAAAAGCGGTCAAGACGACCGACGAAGGGTCCGGACCTGGAGCCCTCCGTTGTTTCACCCTGGTGACCTGGTAGGTGAGCCACCAAAACAGGTACGATGAGGAGGTCGGAAGTGGAACAGCACCATGTCGACATGGTTCCTCCAGGTCGCCTGTCACCCACAAGTTCCATCTTGGGGTGCCTAGTTGAAATTCTTACCCAGAACATCAACTCGACAAGACGAACCCAAACGCTCATGGCCCCTTTCTTCGGGGCCTTTTTCCGTACTTTCCTCATTCGGTTCAGAGGTGCCGTATGTCTCACCTCCTCAAATCCCAGGTCCACCCGGAGGGCCCCTTGTTTCACCTCCATAGACTCGATCTCGTCGTTCTCGGTCCGAGACGCGTCGTTCCGGTGATCCATGGCCACGGTCCGCGCGATCTCCGACTCGCCCCGCCTGGGGAGCCGGGGAGCCCAGGGGGTCGAAGAAGGGCCAGGTGGTTTTTGAGCCCTTTTTTCAGGGCCCATCCCATATGTACCACTACAGGGTCCTATAGTTCAGGTCTCTCAACCTCTCAACTGGGATTTTGCGCAGGTTCCAGAAGGGGCAGGAAACAGAAATCAGCTCGAAGAAATGGCCCGTTTGGTGGAAGCTTAACCTACAAGGTCATTGAACCCTAATTATAAGGTTCAGTGACCCAAAAAAGGATTGGTCCAAAAAGGGTGCTTGAACCTCTTTTGGCTGTATGGACCCACTGGCAACCCTCCTATCGAACGTGATTGGAGAATCTTGAAGACACCTTGACCTATGCATGGAGGCTCCAGGACGATACTGAACCTAAGAAGGTGGCAGACCCCGGTGGGAGTCTCCAAAGGCTCCAACAAGAGAACCCTCACAGTCCAGTCCACGGTGTCCTCTTTGGACCTTTTATAGTATAGGAAAAAGAATGGTCTATCACAAGGGGATCTGATTTGGGGAACTTCCTAAAATTTCACAAAGGAAACGTATAACTCTAGTCTTCCGTTCAACCATTTAAAGACTGGTTGACTGTTCCACACCAGGATTCCAAGCGATGATCCACATCGAAAACACATGCACCTCCATCTGCCAGAGATCAAGTTTGGTCACTTTGAAGAAGCAGGTGGGCATTGATGTTTTCATGATTTTCTCACATGCGTTCCTTCCGTCCCTTTGGCCGAGTGCCGAGCCCCTTCCTCATCTCATCATTTTGGCAGCATATCACTCTGTAGCATCGATATCATGCCCCCAAATACACAAACCCGTCTACTAATATAACGGTTCTGGGTCGTCAGCTGCTTTGACACACAGCCACATGATTCGTTGCCATGATCTGATATGCTTTCCCAACGAATCAGTTCCCAGCAATGACATTGCCCTACAGTAAGAATCCGCTGGAGGGTCCAAAGATTCACTCGCACCGAAGGGGTTGCTCGCTCCAACCAGCCACCCAGCATGCCTTTTGGTTGGCGATGGTGATCCAGGAAAGACGCGCCGCGCAAGTTACGCCTGCTGGACAGCGCGGGGGATTCGAGAGCTGTTGGGTGGCTGGTTGGAGT